CCCTAACCCTAACTCTAAGTCATAAAGTATACGCAGTGGCTACGCGTCCGGAACCGGTCGCCTAGCATCCAGGCTACGCGTCCGGAACCGGTCGCCTAGCATCCAGGCTACTCGTCCGGAACCGGTCGCCTAGCATCCAGGCTACGCGTCCGGAACCGGTCGCCTAGCATCCAGGCTACGCATCCGGACATCCACTCACACAGTGAACGTGTGACTCGCGTACACGCATGATTGCACAACGGGAATTTTGCACACACACACACACACACACGTACACACGCACGCACGCACACACACTAGGCAATCAGCAGAGCGTACCGTTGCGCAATCATGCGTGTACGTGTCGCAAGATCACTGTGTGAGATGGATGTCCGGACGCGTAGCCTAGCGGCTCCTCGTCCGGAACCGGTCGCATAGCCACGGCCTAAAGTATAACCTTAGCCTAGGTATCACGAAGTGTGTTACTGTTAGGGTTAGGGTTTTTCCATCATTCCTTGATATACGGAGTCAGTGCATCAGTTGATGATACACAGAAACCTGTGAATCACTTCGTGCTACCTAAGGCTAAGGCTAAGGCTAAGGCTAAGGCTAAGGCTAAGGCTAAGGCTAAGGCTAAGGCTAAGGCTAAGGCTAAGGCTAAGGCTAAGGCTAAGGCTAAGGCTAAGGCTAAGGCTAAGGCTAAGGCTAAGGCTAAGGCTAAGGCTAAGGCTAAGGCTAAGGCTAAGGCTAAGGACGTAAGGTGTCTAGCACCCTAGTTTTGCACCCTAGTTTTTAGCCCGACCAGGCTGTGCGACGGATTGTCTATACCCTAGTAAGTACTACTACTAGTATTCTAACCCTAGCAATACCGTTTCTTGGAGCTACCTAGTTTTGCTCATCAGTCAGCGATATAATTTCTCTCATCACGTATCGGCATTTTTCCGTTCGGGCTTTAATCATATCTGTATATATATATATATTTTCCTATCTCGTTTATTAAATCTCCTAAGTATGTGTATTTAGAGCATTTTTTAATTACTTGGTTACATAGTAGTAGTAGTAGTAGGCCCTACGACTTTCCCCATCGTCTTTCTTCATACGTCTTCGGTTGCAAGACAAAACAAATGCCGAATCTTTGCGCACCCCCTGGTGGAGAAAAAAGATTAGATGTCCACCAGTTATAATTTCCGGTCCTACTAAACAGCGAAATGTGCTACTAAACAGCGAAATGTGCTGGAATGTGCGCTGAATGTGCAAGAATGTGCAGGAATGTGCACGGAATGTTCAGGAATGTGCGCGAAATGTGCAAGAATGTGCATCTATAACTGCCGTAATGTATAAAAATGTGGCAAAACGGGTTTACACGTGTTAAATCTGTCGAAACCTGTCGGAATTCATGCCGTATACATTACGAAATGTACTACTACTAGATCGATCAGCTGTTCTTGTTGTTGTTTTCATATCATGCAAGATGGCTCAGCCGAAATGTGGCTCAGTGGCCGTCCTCGTCGAAACAGGTACAACTGCAGTTGTGTAGCCGTTAGAATGTTCGTATATGCATGATTCATTGATTGTATATGAAGTTGAAAGTAAATGAATAGAAGCCAAGATCGAGTGTGTATAGTTGCAGCTATAGATAACCGTCAAAATGTAAGCTAAAAATATGAAAAACAACATTCTAAATAAAATTAAAAAGAATACAACCAACATTGTAATTTATGAAATTTCAACAATAAACCAGTGCCATAATCTCGTGTCACATGGATATGTATGATATTGCAGTGACCGCACAATTTGCTCTCTAATCCACATAAATTATTCATGACGTAGTCTATTGATAATATAAGATTGATTCTATGAAAAACCAAATTAACGCATTTCGAACAATAGCCAATTCACAAGTGCTTGTAATGGCTGTATACTAGGCTAATACGATAACGCCACATTACAAGTTGACAAAATGAAATGTTATTAACGTACTGAAACAAAACATAAATGTGCACTGCTATATATTTATATACTTTAACAAGTCTACAGTTATATCTGGAATGCCAAATTTAAACTTTTTCACATCAGCACACTAACAGCTCATAGGGTCTATGTCCCCCATGTACTGCCGAACGTGTGCGGTGCACGTACACGTGCGTGCGTGCATGTGTTGTGCGTTCGTGCAGTTTTTGGTTTCGTCGTGTACTACACGTACACTGCGGCGTGCGTAGCGTCGTGCACGTACGCGTTAGTGCGAGGTGCACGGTACACGTGCGTGCATGCGTGCGTGTGTGCGTGCGTTGCGTGCGTGGCGTTGTGCGCATACGCGCGTGCGTGGCGTGCGTGAAGTGTGCAAGTACACACGTGCCGTGCGTGCGTGCGTTGTGTTGCAGGTACACGTGAGTGCGTGCGTGCGTGTGCACGTACACGTGCGTGCATGCGTGCGTGCGTGCGTGCATTCCGTGCCGGTGTGTGCACGTACACGTGCGTGCGTGTGTGCGTGTGTACGTAGACGTGCGTGCGTGTACTACTGCACAGTGCATTCGTGCGTGTGCGCGTGCATCATTTGCACACCGAATCAGCATAGAATTAACGTTAACATAGAATACCATTACTGTCAGCCATAAAAAGAGCTCGTGTACGATAGCGAAACCAGGCACACAGGAGCTGATGCCCGCGGAAAAGGTCAGCGGCATGAGGCTTGCCGGCAGAAAGGGCGCGCGCTAGAAACCAGTAGCTATAAAAGCGTCACGAAAACGCGGTCAGCGGGCTAGTAGAGAGGAAAAGGTGAGCGCAGTGGCCGGCTTCGCGCGCTCTCATCGCCAGTTGCTGAAGTTCACAGACACGCACTGATGAATCGCTGAAAAAATATCACGTCCCTACTTCGTCTATACATGCGATATGGGCTGTCGATACCACCAAGCCTTAGCCTATCAGTCATTATCATCCCACCCACCTATAACTTATAGCAGAGGGTAGTGGGCAGATACGGCTAGTTCCTGCCATTCCTCGCGTGCCTTCTCGCGACTCTGTCGAGGAATGTATTGATTGTGAAATCACGTTCTCTTCCGCGGAGCGAGACGACATTACCCAAAGGCGCGAGATATATAAGCCGCTTCAACGGCGCACGTGGTCTTCTCAAACGAGACGCGTGATGGCTACACGTTATAACAACGAGTTCCGTAGACGAGCCGAGTTTGGCAGTCTAGGCTTAGCAGCGGTAGCGAAAAGTCGAGCAAACTGAACGCTGACGGGCCGTAACGTGTGCTGCTGCACCCAAGGCTGCGACTGTCGTGTTCGTTTTACGTGAACCGTCCGCGAACTACGTGCGTGCGAGCGATGTGATAGCGCGTAGTTAAAGCTAACAATGCGGCATCCAACGCTTAATTCTTCTCCATACTAGACAGCAAATACTGATGTGCAATGCATACTCACACTACCTAATGACACAATAAACTCTAGTGCTCACCATTTCACTGCGCGTTTGCTTAAAACCTCACAAGAAAGAGGTGAGAAAACGGCATCTGGAGTAAACCCCGCCCTGTTTTACAACCACTATAGCCTCGAAGTGGGGACGTGACGTCACTATTTTATCTTGCTACACTACCGCTGTAGCGAGCATCCGCTGCACGCTTGCTTGGGATGGGAACTGTCAACAACATCGAGAAATTTGAACAACATGAGGTATATTTTTCCAATTACCGCTTTTATAAACAATCCCCACGCGCAGTGAAATGGAGGAACTAGAGTTATTTTGTCATAAGGAGTTGTAGTAGCATGCCACGAAGTATTGCAGTCTAATATGGAGGAAATTAGCGTTTGATGCGAATTGTCGAGCCTTTAAGACGCGCAGTGCGCCTCATGGGCAGCACGGTGACGGGCCGTAGTGTAGACGCCCGCACGCGTTTTGAACATTCAGAGCCTTCGTTCTCTGTAACTCACTGTCCTGTTGGTTATCGACGTTGACACATCGACGAGTCATCCGCCACAACTTATCTGATCTGTCCGAATCAAGTAAGCTTGGCGTGCTTTACGGACGAGGAAGCGACTACCCGATGTGCAAGCAATCACAGCCAACGATAGCCTGAAACCCTTAACTCGAGAATCCTCTAACGATAAAAACGTCAGCACGTAGAAAAACCCTGTACAATAAGTATCCATGGGTTGCACGCATTTCTTGAATAATCTGCCCGCACTCGTCAACACACCGCAGAGCCGCAATTCGACCGATCCTGCTCATATCCACATGATTCCTGGACACTGTTACAAGAGCAGTAGACACTACGCGGCTCGCCCTATGATTGAGGCGATGGAAATGTGGGCCGGGATCTACATGGGTGGGTGGGCCGGGTGTGTGTTGTGTGTGAGGGGGGAGGTTGCAACCAGACGTATGCCACTACTAATGTTATGATATGCTATACTAGTAAAATGGTGCAAAAAATACAAAAAAAATCCTAAATTATTCAATTGCGCGTAAATGCAGGAGAAAGCATCAACATATTTCAAAAATTTCGCAGGTGGAGGGGCAGTGCCCGGACCAACTAGACGCA